AACTGGAACGGCCCGTTCCAAAATCGAAACGGCTCGTTCCCAAAAAAGCAGAACGGCCCATTCTGAAATTAGAACGGTCCGTTCTCAATCTCAGCAGAACGGCCCGTTCTCCCTCCGGAACGGCCCGTTCTCCATACCAGAACGGCCCGTTCCAGGCCCGTTCTAGGACTACAAAAACCTCACATTTTCAACATTTGGAACGACCCGTTCCACTTTTGGAACGGCCCGTTCCGGAACCCAAAATACCCCTATAACTTTATTAAAATTACGAAAATGCCATTAAAATAATAATAATAAAAAATTGGGTGTTACATCCAACATGAGACAATAATGATTTCATGTTGGATTGTGATTTGTAATTTTTATGATTTTGGATTGTATTTGAAGTTTAAGATGATTTTGGATTATATTTATCTATTTGAGATTATTTAGATTTGATTTGATTGTATTTAAAATTATCATTTAATGTTTGGGATGAATGATTCATTTATGGATATCTTAATTAAGAATATCAGATTTTTAAAATAAGTTTAAATTTTTGGGCTTTAGTTGTATATTAAGAAAAAAAATTGAAAGAAAATTATTTTTTTTTAAAGGTGAGCCAACCCGTTTAACCCACCAACCTGTGGTGGGCCGGGCCGGGTTTGATTTTTTTTAGCTCACTGATAAATGAGCCGGGTTGGGTTGGCCCACCAAATGGCCAACCCGTGGTTGGCCAAGCCGGGCCGGACCGGGTAGCCTGTTTTGACAGCTCTAACCTTTTGTGGTATAGGTTGATGTTTCTAATATAGGTTTGGGTGGAATGTTGATGCAAGAAGGAAAGGTAGTAGCTTGTGATTCTAGGCAATTGAAAACTCATTAGAGAAATTACGTACCTATGACTTTAAGTTAGCGGTTGTAATATTTATTCTAAGATTTGGAGATGCTACCTATATGATTTTAAGCTTGAGGTATTTAGTGTGATCATAAGAGCCTTAAATATTTTTGACTGAAGAGTTAATTATGAGACAAATGAGATAGTTTAAATTTTTTGAGGATTAAGATTTCAAACTTAATTGTTATATGAGTAAAGCCATTATGGTGACAAATGTTTTGGGTAGGAAACCTCTACATCTATCCTCCCTTATGATTGGAGAGATGAATCTTTTTGGCTCAAATTAGAGATTTAAAGTTTGGCTTATAAGGTTACCCTTAGTAGTGTGAGACTAAGTATGACTTGAGTAACGAATGGATTGTTGAAGGAAATTGGAGAAGCATAATTAGTTGATTCATTTTGGTGACAAGATATGAGGTTATAGGATAAGGTGATGGATAAGAGTTTGACTTGGGTGTAGATGGAGTGGTGAAATTAGAGACTTATGCTTGGTGTGTGAGATTATCCTTAGGAGCATTGAATTAATTATGTTGAAAGTGACTAGTGAAATAATGGATGAGATTAAAGAAGCCTAGGAGTCAAATCCTTTCTTAGGGAACCAAGTGGAGAAGATTGGTAGAAGTATAGATAACCATTTCTGAGTAGAAATCGACGTTGTTTTGAGGTGCAAGAACAAAACTTGGGTGCTTAGTAATCCTGAATTAAGGAAGATGATCGTAGAGGAAGGACATAAGAGTACTTTTAACATTCATTTAGAAGCTACTAAGATGTATCAGAGTGGCGCAGCGGAAGCATAGTGGCCTTAGGTGGAGAGAGGAATAGAGTAATTTGTGAACTCGTGTTTAGTATGCTCAAAGTCTTTAGGAATTTTGTAGCCTTTAGACGTCTCATTTTGGAAGCAACATGGTGTGTAGATAGACCTTAGTTATAGGTTTCTCTGAAATGCTTAAGAAATTGATTCTTTTTGGGTTATAATGGATAGACTCACCAAGTTTTCTTGTCTTACCCTATTTGATAATAGACATTCCTTGGTGAAATTGATAGAGTTGTACATCTATAAGATACTGAAGTTGCATAGGAATTAGAAAGCAAGACGTAAGGAGTTTACCCATTTCTGTTTTCAGGTGAATTTCGGGGACAAAATTTCTAAAAGGAGGGGAGAATTGTAATAGCCCGATTTCACAGATTGTTTGAGGGCCCAAAGGCCCAATAGGAGTCATTTAGTAGCCCAAAACGGCCCGTTCCAAAATCGGAACGGGCCGTTCCAAATGACTAAACTGAGAGTGATTTTGTATCCCAGAACGGGTCGTTCCCAAACTGGAACGAACCCTTCCAAAATACAAAAATTTTCTACAAATTTTAGATGGGAACAGGGCGTTCCCAAATTGAGAACGGGCCGTTCCAAAGTTGAGAACGGACCGTTCTAAAATATGACCGTTGTGACTATTAAATGCACCCCAGAACGGGTCGTTCTAGTTTGAGAACGGGCCGTTCTGGGTTGAGAACGGGTCGTTCTGGATGTGATTTTTTAGTTGTGAGTTAAGGGTCCAGAACGGGCTATTCCGGATTTGGAACGGGCCGTTCCGACGAAGCCTGATGCCTATAAATGGAGTGCTCTGCCACTTCCAAAAGGCATACCTCTCATTTTCTGATTTCTTTTTTTTTGCTCTCTCTTCTTTCCCTCTACTTTTTGCTTCAGACCGAGGGGAACCCAGCGAGGGAGACCAACCAGATCTTGCGTAGGTTCTGCTACTACTTATCAAGGTACGAGGGAAAAGGGGATTATTTGTATGCAAAGTTACATGAGGGAATTGGGTAGAAGAGGAAGCTCGTAGGATTATGAGTAATTTTATAATTACTTCTGTTTGGAGAATTATTGGTCTTATGTGATTCTGTATATATTTATGATTATGAATATATATTTAGTTTGTAAGAACAATGATTTGGGAGAGAGAACGAAATTATAGAAAAGTGCCTATAAGTTAGGTTGTGGAAAATTGGATTATTTATGTTTGAGAAATTGATGATCCCATTAGATTTTGTATGTGTTGAGGATTAGAAATATATATTTAATTTGTAAGAATGATGATCTGAGAGGGAGAACGAAATTGTAGAAAAGTGCCTGTGAGTTAGGTTTTGGAATAATTGGGAATTTTACCGTTTATGTTAAGACTATATTAAATTGCTAATTCTATTGATTATTATATTAATTTATGAATGTTATTGTTATATTATTTGATAAAATTGATGATCTAGGTGAGGATTCATGGTGAATTACTTGAGGGGTATGTGAACCACCATTTTGTGTGGATTGTGTATGTATTGTGGAATTGAGATGTGGATGTGGATGTGGATGTGAATGTGGATGTGAATGAGAAAGTGATTGTTGTTCCTCATACTTGTGACCAGGGGTGGCACGACCTTAGGCAAGAAATGCTACAGGCGTGACCTTGGCATAGTATGGGATGGGTGATTCCTCATGCTTATGTCGGGGGTGGCACGACCTTGGCAAGAGATGTTACAGGCGTGACCTTGGCGTAGGGTTAATTGCAAGATTTGTGATGGATTGGTGTGATTGTGAAATTGTGATGTGAAGATGTTGCATGATTGATAGAATTAGGATAGATACAAATGCTTGTAAATACTTTAATAAGTATAAGTTATGATGAGACGATGTTGTGGATTTTTCTTATGTGCTTTTCATATAGATGTTTTCTTTTCTCACCGTATAATCTGTGGATGTTTTAGGTGAGGAAGATCCGGCTATGAGTGGCATCTAGAATGCCAACAGTTGAGTTATGGGTATGCTCTGATATTGTGACATCGGGGCAGAGGACTTCTAGGACATGGAATTTATTTGTAAATGGAGCTGTACTTATTATTTTGAAAACATTTTATAACCTCTTATGTTTTATTTTCCAAGTTTCATTTTCAAAATATTTTGGATATCGAAGAATGTTTCTAAAGGTTTTTATGTGAACCCTTTTACCAACTTTGAAAGTTTATTTTTTGAATTTAATTACATTATTACAATGTATATGTTGGGTAGTAAGGGTGTCACATGATACAACTTTTAAGATCCGGTATAAAAAAAACTGATCTTGTGTACCACTTTTAAGATCAATTCTTTTATATCCGATCTTAAAAGTTGTATCACGCATAACTTTTAAGATCACTCATAAAGAATTGATCTTAAAAGTACTTTTAAGATTAGTTAAAATTTAACCGAACTTAAAAGTCTCATAAGTATGAATGAAACGCGTTCTTCACTTTATCTACTTGTGCCTCTATGTTTGTTGTCTCTCTCGATCTCTCTCGTTCCCCCTCATCTCAT